AAAGGGGTTTATACTGGAATATTGGTGGTGGGGAATGTGCACTGGTGGAGGGATGGGTGTTTGATCATTGTGTGATTGTAACCCAAACATGAAAGCTTATAACTATCTCACAATGATTCAATAAAATTAATTAAAAAAAAGATTTTTTTAAAAAAAATTATTAGTGAAACACCATGAGGTACAGGTGTAGATTTACAAATTTTTGTGCTTGGGTTTCAATTATACAATGATCAAATACCCATCCCTCCACCAGTGTCCATTTTCCACCACCACGGGTCGCAGTATCCCTCCCCACCAACCCCTCAAGCCCCCTCCCCCCCATCCCACTCTGCCTCTGTGGCAGGGCATTCCCTTTTGTTCTCTCTCTCCTTTTGGGTGTTGTGGTTTGCAAAAGAGGCATTGAATGGCAATCATGTTTGGTCTATAGTCTACTTTCAGCATGCTTCTCCCATCCTGGGAGGATCCTCCCAACACTTTTTATTTGGTGCTCCTTTCTCTCTCCGAGCTCCCTTTTCCCCTAGAATGTGTGACTGGCCTCTAAGCCATGGAGCAAAACTGGTACAAATCTCGGCCACTCTTGGGTGTTAGTCTCCTATTTTGTTACTTCATGAAAAAAGAACAATGATTTACAAAGGTAATTATAGTTGAATTTTAGGCATATAATTATTCCATACCAATCTCTCCATGGATGTTCCCAAATTCCTTTTCCAGACCAACCCCCTCTCCCCTTCCCCCCACCTGCCAACTTGACAGGCATATTACAGATTTTTAGTGGTTGCCACTTAGATCTCGTGTTTTGAGTTTTGTTGAATCTGTGTTTTGTGTATATGACTGGATGCGTCCAACTCTTATCACTGTTATAACTGAATCCCTGATACCTGTTCGTCCATTACTTCTTGTTCTCTTCTTCCCCCATTGATTTCTTTCCTTCTCTGTTCTCCCATCTAAACGCTGTGGTCAAGGGTTATCTAGGCATGCCCCTTTTAGCATAATATATTTTCTCATTCAATACTCTGTTCCAGAGCAAGTGAAATCATCCTTCCTTCTTCTGGTTTATTTCACTCAAAATAGTATCTTCCTGTTCCAGCCATTTGCTGCAAATTACATGATATCATTCCTGCAATTGAACAATGGGCTGGAGCGATAGCACAGCGGTAAGGCATTCGCCTTACAAGCGGCCAACATGGCCGACCCAAGTTCGATTCCTCTGCTCCTCTCGGAGAGCCCAGCAAGCTACCGAGAGTATTCGATATGCCAAACACAGTAACAACAAAGTCTCCAATGGAGACGTTACTGGGCCCGCTCGAGCAAATCGACGATCAACGGGAGGGCCTTTACCTATATCAGTTTTTAAAACAAATGAATATCATAGTTATCTTAGACATATGCTCCTTGATCATTCCTTCAGTTAAAGCTAACACTGTTTGATTCTCTAGAACTTTTTTTTTCTTTGCTTTTGCTCACTTTTTTGTTTTTTAATGATCACAGAGCCCACCTTAATTCAGGCAGACCTTCAAACATTCAGTTCTTGCTTATGTGACTGCAGAAACTACAAACCTAATGTTTATACTTCTAATATTTCCTTTGAGCCCATGTTCTATACTGTTCCTGGTTGAGTATTTCAAAATGCAGATGTGGTTATTGTATTTTTTAATAAACATACTAACAACTTTCTATGTCTTTCTAGAGAAAGAAACATCTAACATTTTTGCCAAACTCTTCAATGATTTTGTTTCCAGATACTTCTTGAGCTTTACTGGAGAATTCTCATGCTCTCTTTTTTGCCAGTACAAGTGATTGCTTGCCATCTACTGATATTCCCTCTATTGTACATCTCTCAAGTTTTTCAAAACTGAGGTCAAATATCGTTGCCAGGAATCATCCACTCACCTGTAGTCTATTTCTCTGTCTGATAATTTTTGTGGCTTTAGGATTGTTTGTGTTATCAGGAAATACAATGCTTATTCAAAGTATTGACCATATTTTCTGAAAATTTCTCTTTAATATCTACTCTGAAGAATATATTGTAAGGAAATATATAGTTTTGACCTAGTTCCCATAGATTGTTGGATATCAGCCTAATGACTGACATCTTTGTTATGAAACCACTAAAGGAATGTTTTAGAAGAACATTTTTTCAAAATAACAATTTGTAGGGGAAAGATAATATCAGCTTTTTAATGTTTTACTTGTCATGAAAAGTCTTTATTGGTCAGGTGAAAATACATTTAAGGCCTGATTTTTAGTGTGGAATTCAGTTGAGAAGTGGAGCGACCTCTAGGGATTTAAGATGTCGTTATCCTGATGACTGAAGCATCAGTGTGGACATTAGCTTCTGAGAAAGGCTGAATCAGCCCAACAAAGGGATGAGAAAGAGTCCCACAAAATGCCAAATTTAAAGTGTTGGACTGAGAAAAAAGGAAACAATAATTTTTGAGTAGTAGAGGAGCTAGGAGAATCAGAAAAGTATTATGATATAAAATATTGGGGGAAGGAGATGAATATGAAGGCCTATTTGTAAGTATCTGACTATACAGCAGATATATCCAATATGAATTGTTTTTCTGTTGTTCTTTGAATTTTGTTCCTGGGGCCAAACATGGCGGTACTCCGGGCTTCCTTGTGGCTCTGTTCAGGTAGCACTGCTGGCAGTGTTTGGACAGTTGTATGTGAAGGTGGGGGTCTGACACAGGTCAGCTGCATGCAAGACAGTTGCCTTACCCTACTGTATTATCTCTCGGGCTCTATGAATAATATTTTTTAAAAGTTTATTTTTAAAAGTGAATTGTTTGTGTTAAGACGCTGTGATTTATAAAATTGTTCTTCATAGAGTTGTTTCTGACATACACTGTTCCAATGCCAATTCTACCACCAGTGTGACCTTCCCTCCACCATTGTTAGCTTTCTTCCCTTTGGCAGACGTATAACAGATTTATTTCGTAGTGCTTGCTCCAGCAAAACTTAAAGGAACAGCAAGTGGAATTATCACAAAATAAAATCAATAAAGTCAATTTGTGATGATTGATTGCTGTATGATTTTAACCTGTATAAAAAGAGAAATACAAATCACTTAATAAAACATAATGCCTATTTTTATTTACATAAATAAGTTTTCAACTCAGGCATCTAAAATATGTTGCATTAAATTTTATTTCATACTGGATCTCTTTGTAATTATGCTTTTTTTGTCAAATTAAAAAATCTTTGCTAATATATTTTAGAGTTTATATGTAATTGGTAAAGCGCAATCATATGCACCATTGTGAGCGCTGTACTCTGTACCGTGTGCTGGGAAGTTCGTCCTTTCCTTCAAAGAAGGTCCTTTAATGCTTCTCACAAAACTTATTTCAAGTTATCAATTCCCCAAACTGCCCTTGAAGCTCTGTATAGTTCCCTCAGATTGAATGATAATCTAGCTGGAGATAGTATTCTTGGTGAGATGTGTGTTTTGTGCTTTTGTGTTCTGTCCCTCCTTTCTCTGTGGTACATAGGGCCTCTCTTCATTGATCTACTGTGATTCTAATGGGGTTTTCTTTTATGTAAATTCTTTTTTGTACTTGGCTGCTTTCAATATTTTGTCTCTCTCTCTTTTTTTCATTCTAAGCACAGCATTTCAGAGTTTTCTTAGTCTGTTTATGTTGGGACAGTTTATTTCCTAAAACTGTTGGTTTCAAATCCACTTTAGTTTGCTTAGTGCTCATTATAGTGCTGTAAGAAAAAAAGTAGGAGAGGGACTTAGAATGTTTGCACTCATTATATATATATATATATATATATATATACATACACACACATATATATTTATATATAAAATAGTTGGAGACACATACCCAACTCAGTATAAAAAGGGCCTGGGGAACTGGCCTATGGTTGGAAACCTGCTACAAGTGATGGAAGGGGGAGCACAGTTAAGACAGAGAAGTCCATTATGATTGTGACAGCGGGAAATGATCACTCTGGGCAAGAATGAGTGCCGAAAGCTGGTAAAGGGATAAACATAACATTCCCGTATCTGTATTGCTAACCATAATGCCCAAAGGGACGGGGAGAGAGGTAGGCAGAAGGGAGAGGAAGGTGGAGAGAGGGAGGGGGAAGATGGGAAGAGAGAGAGGGAGAAAGATAAAGGGGGAGAGAGAGAGGAAGAGCCTGCTATAGAGGCGAGGGGGGAGGGGGACTGGGGACATTGGCGGTGGGAAATATATATTGGTGGAGGGATGGGTGTTGGAACATTGTGTGAATGAAACCCAATCCTGAACAACTTTGAAACTGTGTAACGTGTGATGATAGAATAAATTTTTTTTTAAATGGAAAGCGGAAAAATACATTAATAAATTAATGAGTTTAAAAAGAAAAAAAAGTAGGAGCCAGAGAGATGGTGTAGGGAGGAGGTAAGTTGCTTGTCTTACATGCAACTGACCCTAGTTCTCATTCCTGACATCACATATAGAACATTAAGCTCTGTCTGAAGTGGTCTCTGAGTAACACCCCCCCCCCCCCCCCCCAAACAACAATAAAACAAAACCCGGAAGAGTAAGTAGAGAAGTCATTTACAAATGGAGATAGTAATAATATCAATAAAATAATAAAATGGAGTTCTATTAAGTCTTACTGATAAACTTCAAGCAAGTTTAAAATACAGTAGGGTTTTGTAAGTAGGAATCAGGGAATTCAGTACAAATGCTTTGCTCTCTATTATTGTTACACAAAGTCACAATGATATTTAGGGACTTTTAAGAAAAATGCCAGGGTTGCAGATATCTCTGGGTGAGTTTGCTCTGCTTCGAGAAGAAGGTCACAGACTCCGTCTCTGCCTTTGTCTGCTTGCTTGCAAATGACTGATTTTGGTGGGACCTGGAGAAAGGCATCCTGTGACTTAGCAAAATCTACCATGGCTTTCATAAAAAGTTTATGTTCTGCTGACAGATCATTAGAGTCATATTTCTTTATGAAGAATAGTGCTTTCATTTTCATCTTTCTCTTGTTTTCTTTTTTCTTTCCAGTTTGAAAAAGAGTTTACTGACCACCAAGAAACTCAGGCTCAGTTGCAGAAAAAAGAGGCAAAGATTAATGAGCTTCAAGCAGAGTTACAGGCTTTTAAATCTCAGGTAAAATACCATCTCTCCAGAGTGAATTCTGGTATTGAAATCTCATGAGGAGAAAAAGGTCGTGTCATATCTTTATAGCAATAAAACGTTTAATCTTTAATTTTACTTGGGTGTTTCATCATATTAATATGAATATTAAATTGTTTGTTTTTAAAATCACTTTACTGCCTTTTCCCTCCTGTTTTTTTTAAAGAGTATATAAACTTCTAGCAATTAATCTGCTTTCTTATGTTTCATTGGATTTTGTTGCCAGTTGTCACACATCCTTTAGAAATTAAGCAAGAAAAATAAGAAAGTCTTTTACTCTTAAATTTGTCATTCATCGCTGATCCTTATCCCACTACAGGAAATTATTGCTCAAGCTATTTATTTTTCAAAACTTTCAGCCTTGGTACCTTGTGGTGAAAGATAACCTCTAGCTGAATGAGAACATTTTCTGATAATTTTTCAATTTCCAAAAGTAAACAGATTTAAAACATGACAAAAAGAGAGCAAATCTGGATTATGAATCAGATAGCTCACATGCACCCTCTACACATAAAACATTTAGATTGCAAGAAATACATCATCTGCATGCTTTAACTGGGTGAGTTATGGGGTAGAATATTCATAGGTGAATTTTTCTATGTAGATTTACATATAGAATGATGAACAATACTAATTTTATACAGTTTTTCTGTTTTCTTTCATCCTAATTTCATAGTTACGTGAAAACAATTTTAGACATAATACTATGTACATATACTAGTTCCTATAGTGTTGGCTTTATTTCTTTTGAATATACAGTATATAATTTTTTTTTTCACCCCAAGGACTGCCTAAACATACTTTAAGAGGCATCTATTTGTCAGAATTCAATTTAGAGACAAAAATTAGAATACATTAATACATGAAAAACATTGATTTTTCTTTTCAGTCTTGTAAAAAGTACTGTAAAAAAATTACCACACTTTACTGAAATTTTCCATCTTTTCACTTTGCCTTTGTCATATTAAAAAGAACATTCAATTAAGTTCCATATTTCAGAATTACTTATAGACTTAGTGAAATATTTATGACAAAATTTCTCTGAGCTAATCTAAACATAAAGACTTTTCTTTCTTTTTAATTTCACATGGATGAAAGACTGCTTATAAATCAACCCTAAAAATTATAGTTTATAAAATATATATTCACCATCTTTGGGTATATTATTTTTGTGTGTTCTATTTAAGTTGGCAGTGAATTCAGATTTTTGTAATCGCAGATTAAGGAATCTCCAATGCTTTAGATTATGCACATGAAGACTTTTTGTCTTTGTTTCTTTTTGGGTCACACCCAGCAATGCTCTGGGGTTACTCCTGGCTCTGCACTCAGGAATTACTCCAGGCAGTGCTTGGAGGACCATATGGGATGCTGGGAATCGAACCCCGGTCGGCTGCATGCAAGGCAAATACCTTACCCTGCTATACTATTGCTCCAGCCCAAGACCTTGTGTTTTGATACTGAGAGTCCTGTAGAAAGGTCTTAATTACAGAGGAAAACTATTTTTGAATTACCATTGGTATATTTTATATATTTTTATGAGATACATATCGATGTTAAGCATATTTATCTTTGATTCATGTTATGAATATTCTGAAAGTTATTAATCAAATGTTTCATCTGTGATATAATTCCTGAAAATCAAGCACTGTTGAATGTTAATATATAATGGTGAACAAAGACTTGAGAGATAGTATAGGGGTTGACGTTCTTTTGTCTTTGTACCTTATGACCTCCAGAGCATCACTGATGGAGCTCCAGAGGCCCAGGCACATTTTTGGCATGGCCCTGATGGTCCCTGGCCCAGAGAGCCCAAACAGCACAACTTCCTTGCATTGAACTGATGGTTGGGCTCTGACTTCCCTGAGCAACACCTAAAACAGCCCCCACCCCCTTTGACCTGCCCTTCCACACACTGATGAACAAAATTCAGTATCTATGTCTAAAAGCACGAGGGCAAGCTTTAGTTCAGTCTTTTCCAAATGCAGTGTTTTAGAGCAGAAATATAAAATATGTAAAGAGTGTAATATAATGTACATACATCCTTTACATTTAAAGTACAGTGACCTTATCACCCCACCATATACCAAGCCTTCCTGTTCTCCACATGGAAAGTTTATTTGTGAAGGATGGATGGGAGTGTGGGGACTTAAGGCAGTGCCTTGGGCTTATTTCTGACTGTGCTCAGGGATCACTCCTGGTATTACTCAGGGAACCAAATGTGCTGGGAATATAACCAGGGGTTAGCCTTTTGCAGGGACAAAATCCTAAATACCTGTAATCTAAATTTTTTTGTGACATTATTACGCATTGTGCTGGCTCAGATATCAAATTTTGGCTCTTTTACATGATATGCTTTCCATAATTGTGTCATGTAACTTTAGAATTACTAACCATTATTAATTGTCCAGCACTTACCAGATAGTTTACATACATAGGACTTAATTGACATTGGTGATTTCAAGAAAGTAATGAACAAAATGTTACTTATCAATTCAGAATGTATGGATGAAAGCCAAATGCATCTGTTAAGTTTCTCCACATATAGTGTTTCCATGTACAGAACCACCAGCATACATATTTGGCCCCTATTCTCCCTTGATTTTACTGTCTGACATTTAGCTCTGCAGAAACATCTTTATGATTTTATTCACTCTTCATTTGTGATTTATGACACTGCATGTGCCCCCTTTGTTTTCTTATCTTTAATTCAGTTATCCTGCAGAAATTTCTTCAACAGTAGTCATTTGCCAATAAGTGCCTCAGGTGTGGAGGGAAGAGTACTTGGTTGGACATTGTTATTTCTGATGAAAGTAATAGTCTATGGGGGAAAAACAGCAACAACATGTTGATTTTTTTAAATAATGGAACACTTCATAGGAGCTATGCGAGAGGAATGCAAGTGTAATATAACATAGAATGAGTTATAACTGGGCAGAGAGAGAGAGAGAGAGAGAGAGAGAGAGAGAGAGAGAGAGAGAGAGAGCGCGAGCGAGCACAGCCGTTAAGGCACTCACCTTGCAAGCTGCTGATAGTCTGATCCCAGGCACAGCATACAGACCTTTAAGCACCACCAGGAGTGACCCAGAGCCAGGAGTCTGCCCTGAGCAATGCTGGGCGTGCCACTGACAAAATCACCCCCACCCCCACCCTCCACAACCCCCACAAAAAGGTAGTCCAAATGAATTTCCGAAGGAAGGACCCAGGGATGGGAGTTGAGATTGGCCTGTGTATGGAATTGTATATAAAATTCACTTTGGAGGGGTTCCAAGAGGACCCCTATGTATCAAGGGTTCCCAGATATATTATTGCATGCATTTATGGACCCAGCGAGGAATTTTCATTTTTTTTTTCTTCAAGGACAGAGGTATGTTGTGACAATGTTAAGTTTATTTTTATAAACTGGAACTTTTATTTTTTAAACTTTGTATAAATGCTAGTATTTTTCAAAGTCTTCTGTGCATAGATCTTTCCTCATGTGCCATCCTCTGGCTGAACCGAATCACATGACTTTAGCTCTCAAGCAGACAGCTGGGAATTTCCTCCTGGAGATTTCCAGTAGTATGTTCGTAACTACCTCAGTATGCGGAATACTACTTATGGCAGTCATACTTTTATGAAAACAAAGCCTACAAATATATCAATTTGCTTTCTGGTTAAACCAAACAAAACTACTTACATTCAGATGATTTCTTATTTTTGAGCTGTGTACTGTTACCTGTATTCTTTAACTGCTATGCTTCTTATTTTTCACCCCCTACAGTTTGGTGCGTTACCACCAGATGCAAACATATCTTTGCCTTCATCAACAGAAAATCCAAGTGGGCACGCAGCTCCTCCCCCTCCCCCACCAATGACCTTATGTGGTGGAGCACCACCCCCGCCACCCCCTCCTCCTCCTCCGCCTCCTCCTCCTCCGCTTCCAGGAATGATGCCATTTGGTGGGCCTGTGCCGCCGCCACCTCCCCTGGGATTTCTCAGTGGGCAAAACTCTGCGCTACCTCCAAACTTGCCGTTTGGGTTAAAACCAAAGAAAGAATTTAAACCTGAAACCAACATGAGAAGATTGAATTGGTTAAAGGTAACAAAAACGATTGGAAGGAAATATGATGTGACCTAGATTAAAATTTAATTTCGTGTTTACGGATATTTCTTATGGGAATCCTGATCCAAGTGATGTACAGCAGCCACTATTATTATTGTTGTTGTTATTTTAATTAGAAGAGTTGAGGAAAAAAAACCACTTTGGTATTCACTAACGCTTTCTGAAATTTTGTGGGTGGGAGTCAGTATCACTTTTACATATGATTTGTATTGTGATTAAATTGGTAGCTCAGGGTTGCTATGATTGAACACTATGCTTATAAAGTCAAGAAAAATTAACATTCTTAGGGACTTTTCTTGTGTTGCTAGCACCAGAAAATGGCCTGTTAATTTTCAGACAATATTTGGTCAGGATTCTGTAGAAAGCTGATACGTTGGTCATACAACCTTAGGAAGTGGTGTAGAAAACTATTAATTTCATTGTTGTTGTTACTTCCCCTGTGATTCGTGACCCCATATACAGAGCCATGTGTCCTGCAGTTCAAGAGTTACTGTAGATTCACTCTATACAGGAATATTGTTGAAAACTTTGAAAAGGATATGTGAGAAGATGCAAATTTTATTTTATTTGGCATCCAGTTTTACCTATTTATTTGATCATGAAAGTGTTTATTTCTCCCACTGCCAATAAAACTTTAGCTTCCTGCATTATTTATATTTCGTCAGACACACTTTGGGATAATGTCTTTTAGGGGTCATTCCATAAACATCTCCCGATGGCTATGGGACACTGGGTTTGCACATGGTGATTGGGCTAGGTCTAATAAAATATGCAATTGTTTACAAGCATGTCTTCTTTCTGATTGCAGATCAGACCTCATGAAATGACTGAAAACTGTTTTTGGATAAAAGCAAACGAAATTAAGTATGAAAATGTGGATTTGCTTTTCAAACTAGAGAACATATTTTGTTGCCAACAAAAAGGTAAGTTTAACACAGTTATTGTTTTCTAATTTAAATTTTTAAAATTACAGTGAGGTAACATGATTGCCGTCATGTTCAAGTTTATAGTTTTTATGTTCAAAAGCACTACATCCTTATCCCTATAATTGTAGCATTTTCTCTCCTTTTCCTATTGAACTCTAGGTAGCATTGAATTTTGCAAAATGGTATTTTTACTTTATTAATTGGTAAATTATCTAATAAAATGTAAGACTGAATATGTGAATTTTGTTATAGGATGTCAAATGAGCCATTAAAAATGTAAGTTCTTAATGGGATATTTTTGTTAAATTTTTCAGGTAATACTTGTTGAAGATAGCGATTATATTTTCATAAAGGAGGGAATTCTGGCATGGGAATTTAATTGGCGAGAAAAACAAAAACAATATGAGAGCATGCCTCTAGTCAGATTTTTACACAGTGTAAAGTAAATTTTACTTTAATATAAAGTGATCATCACATAATTTAATCAGTATGGCTCCCATGGGGCAGTAATATTGAATCATAGAATATCTTGATAGTAAGCTTGAAATAGAAATATATGAGTAGGTTACATGATCTTTTCATTACAAGAATGGAATTCATTTTCCAAATTACTTTATAATAGCTTTTACCTGTGCAATATGAATAAAAAAATTTAGATATTGCTTCTGTCTGCAAATTGTTTATCTCTTCTATTCTCATGGGCTTACCACTTGTATTGCAGGGCTTCTATATTGTTAAGGTAATTTTAAAGTTTTATGTAATGCTTGCGTCCTTTTTGGTTTACAATACAAAGCACTTACATTAGTCATTACATCTCCAAAACAGAATCTTTTTCCACCGTTGACTTATAGGACTATGTCTCTGAATTTATGATCACAGAAGGGGATGGAGGGAGAGATTATTGTGGATGAAGGGGGAAGTCCTTAGTACAGATTAAAGTGTCTGCTGAGTACTAGACACCATGTAGGATACGTAATATGTTAGAGTTAATCTGATCCTCAGAACAACCAAGATAACATGGCAGATACAAAGAAATTATTTTCCTTCTTTGAAATGACTTTTAAAAATGCAATTTTTAAGTTTATAATTCTTTCTGGAAAAATTGTAAGAAGCTATGTAATATAACTATGTAATATAACTGTTAATCAGTTTAGCTTTCTAAAATTTGTGGTAAATCCAGAGCTATTAACAGATGCACTTTAACACCATTATATTGACCAAAATTTACTAGTAAAAATGATTTATTTTGATCTTTGAAATCAGGGGGATTTTCTTAGTAAACTTTCCCTTGGAAAATTTGTGAAATAAGCAGATCTTAATCTTACCTTTTGATTATGGAGAGTCAGAATTTCCTTTGAATAAGATTAGTGCGCTCTTCAGGCAATCAAGGAAAATATAAGACAGTTAAAATGAGTATTTACATGTAAAACACTTCAGAATTTCAGATTTTGTAATCGGGAATTGATTAGTTTTCCCTTTGCCTTCCTAGTAGGAGCAAATGGTGGGGCCTGAAAGCTATTTAAGTAATAGTGGCATCCAGTGACTCTTTTTTCCCCTCTTTACTCTGATTACTTTCTTAATTAATGAGGCTCAAAAGGGAAACTTGTTAGCATGCCTTTAATTTAGCTGTAGTGTTAGTCCTAAATGAAATAATTGGAACTTTAAAAAAATTCCTAAGTCATCTAACTTTAGAGTTAAGATTCAAGGTTAAAAAAAATGCATGTAATAAAATGCCAGGTATAAAGGTTAAGGTGGCTTGTGATCATTTTCTGCACATTGCGTTCTTCTGGGGTTTTTTTGCCTTTTTCTGCATGATGTCCATTGCCTATTTCCAGATTTTCTTTTTCCTTTTGACTGAGAAGCCAGCATAGCTTTCATTTCAGCTAAATGCCTCCTTCTCTTTCCTATGATAGCGATGGTGACTAGTAAAGATGAGGGAGGTAAGGATTATGTCTCTGGATGATGCCAATATTTCATGAGATGAACTATCAAAATTGACTACTTTTAGTCTGGATTTTGAAGAATAATTGCTGGGCGGTATTATTTGAGTAGCCTTGCGTTTTCTAATACATGTTTTGTTGGAAAAGGCCATCCATTCCTGTTTTACTGAACGATGGCATTTTAAATAGACATTGTTGTGAGGAAGTCCAGAAGGAAAGCAACAGAGAGATGTCTGGGAGGCTCAGACAAGAGAGGCCTGGTGCAGTGGACAGATCATTTCTCTCTTGCCTCTTTATTTCTCTACTGAGACTTTAAACTCGAGTGTTACCGTTTCTCTTCTCCATGGTTCCCAAGATTACTTTGTTTGAATCAGTTTTGCTATTTCTGCATAATTCAAAATTAAACCTAACTACTTTTTTATTTTGTCTAGAGTGGCTTGTTTATTCTGCATAGTTGCTTTCCATTCTCTAGCGGGCAAGTGTAGATACAATTAACTATTCCTTGTTTGGATCACGACCGGACATAGAAGGTCAGAGGATTTAACTTAATAGAGGAGAATGAGTTTTTAGAGGAATGCTACATTTAATTTTATTTGCTGTAACACTTTGCAATAAGTATGAGGGCGATTTCTCTGATGGCAAAGGCGAGTATTCCATGCTAGGCATTTGAATGATAGGTACAATTTCATTCTTATTAATCATTTGAAATAGAAAAAGAAAACCAGAATCCTGTCATTTTAAGAGAAATCTTGTGGAAGGGAGCTAGCCAAATGCTGAGCTCATGCTCTTACCACCTGTCCTGAGTTTCATTCCAAGCACTGCAAGGACCACTGAGCTGCTTTGGGTGTACCGCTGCTGGCTCTTTTGTCCCACAGTCTGAATACATTCTAAATGGAGACTCCTCTGGGTCAAGCTCTCTAGGACTGACCCTGGGCCACTGAAGGATCAGCTGTGTGTTTGACTCCTAATTTACCCCCCCCCCAATTTTTTTTCTATTTATATTTTTGTTTTCCATGCAGTGAATTTATTATAAATATCTTCAGTGGTAAGATCCAATTAAAGTTTGGTTTAGTTTCATTCTTTTAAATATAATGCTTTGTGTGTGTGTGTGTGTATGTGTGTATGTGTGTGACTACTGGTTCATTAGTGTTGCAGAGATTGAGATGTGACTTCAGAAAGTCCAGAATGTTGTTTTTTTCCTTTTTGGGTCACACCTGGTAATGCACAGGGGTTACTCCTGGCTCATGCACTCCAGAATTACTCCTGGCGGTGCTCGGGGAAACATATGGGATACTGGGGATTGAACCCGGGTCGGCTGCATGCAAGGCAAATTCCCTACCCGCTGCACTATCGCTCCAGCCCCAAGGTCCAGAAGTTTTAAAGGTGTGATACATCAGGAGTTAAAGTTATTACTGTTATAATTGAGTGGTGCCTTTGGGGTATGGGCTTGAATGCTAGGGCTTCCAATAGTTCTGGGAAGGTGGGGGAGTTAGCCCATCTTGACTCCAAGAAAAGCCTGGAGATTTCAGTCACAAAATCCACATACCTGATTTTTCTCACCAAATTAATTTCTAGGCGAGAGTCTGTCCCGAGACAGTGGATTCCAGCCGGGGGCTTGGTCTCAGATGATTTTGATGTTTACTAAGTATGACTTTTTTCTTGGAGTTTGCTTTAGGATTTTGACCATTACTTTTTTTAGGAGCTTATAAATTATTTGTTTATAAATGTCTCAAACCAATAATAAAACAAAAATAACTAATAATACCTTCTGGCTTCCTGTGTTGTACTGGTTCCTAGGTTGGGATATTGTTCCCGTTATGCTGCTAATCTTCACTATATTTCTACTGAAATTCTCCTCCTGCAAAATAGTTTTATCTTGGCACAATTCCATCCTACCCTACCTACTCAGAGGCACAGCAACATATCTTTGGCAAAAGCTTTGCCTTTTCTCTTAACTCATCTTACACCTTTTTTCTTCTTTAGGCTAGATTTTACTTTTTTCCTTTCTTTACTTTTTTTCCTATTTTTGGTTTACACCCAGAAATGCTCAGGGTTACTCCTGGCTCTGCACTCAGGAATTATTCCTGGCATTGCTTGGGGGACCATATGGAATGCCGGGAATTGAACCTAGGTCAGCCGTGTGCAAGGCAAACGCCCTACCTGCTGTACTATCACTCTGGCCTTTAGTTTTGTTTTTAAAAGTGGTCTTTTCCCTCTGACATTGGTGACATTATTGCTTCAGTTGAATAATGCCTTGTGTTGTTTCTTTAGTTTCACCAGTATTTTTAACTGTTCTTTTATGTGAAATCCACCTTTCTTTTCTAATGGATATCTATCGTTTTCTCTTTGATAGCTTATTTGACTAATATGATGTTGGTTTCCTTGCTTCTCTCAGTTCTAAGTTTTTGAGATACTCTTAACTCTGCATATATTTAAAACTTCTCAAAATAACAAGAATTTTTTTAGATCCCTTTAATTTTCTTCCTTTACTTTCATTCATTTCTCTCACATTTTCTCTTTTATATTGTAGCATACTACTGTTGAAATCAATGTATATTTAATAGGTACACATTGTTAGGTCTTGCATTTGGCATGGGGACACTAGTGAGGGGCGGTGACATGTTGCTATTACAGTCTCAATGAGACTCAAGTTCTTATTTGATACATCAAAATGAAGAGTGGAACAACAAATGCTGATTTTGATTTGAGAAACGACGGCCATATTTTACTGTCTTCAGCTTCTGTTAAGACTTAACAAGGTTATAAAAGAACATTGTATATTCTCTGAAATTTAATCACAATATTCATATATGAACATTTGGTATCATCAAAATATGCTAATGACATACATTTTTTTTAAACCAGATTGGAAGCATCTGTTGGTTAATTTTTATAGTCTGTTGGAAAATGGAGTGAAATATACTAACAGGTTATTGGTGTTGAATTAGTCAACTAAAATTAATATTAATTACTTTCATTATTCACAAACTGTTAAGGTAATAGGGATTAAAGAGCCTTTTGGAAGTATATGAATAGTTTTGTCCACTTAGGCTGATT